AAACATAAACTCAACTCGATTTAAACTCGACTCGGCTTATCTGACTCGTGAGTTGACTCGACTCGTCCAGAACTCTAATTGCAAGTTCTAATTTTTATAAAATTGTAGTCCTAAGATTGTAAGTCTTAATTTTATAAGATTATAATACTAAGATTGTAATTTCAGAATCTGATTCTAGAATTCAGTTTTAAGATTCAAATTCTATAAACTGAATTTTCTTTAGAACTAGAAGTTTTAGAACTAGACTAGGACTGAACTGAACTGGATTTTAATATTTATATTAAAGTATCAAAATTATTTAAATGTAAATGATGACTCATAAAAATCTATCCAATTTGCTAAAACTTAAAATATGACTTTAGATTAAATTTGAATTAATTTAGTAAAATTTAAATTATGATTTCAAGTTAAATTTAAGAAAATTCACAAAAAATCAAATGTAAGATATATCAGAATTATTCAGAGTTCTATTAAAATTATAAACACATTTTTATATTTATATTTATTATATATTTATAAATTCTCTAATATATTAAATAATAAATTTAATAATAAAAAAAACTAATAAATTATAAAATTAAAAAATAATTTTAGAATTATTATTAAGTTTAAAATATAAATATAAAAGTAATTAATTATGTATTAATTCAAATATTAAACAAACAGATAGATATATATTCCGTATTATTAAATTATAAATAGATAAACTTAATAATTTTTTTTTTTAAATAACTATTTATATTTAAATGAAAAAAAAAGAGATAAAATATAATAAAAACTATATTTTTTCTTATACTATTTATGATTTATATTATTATAAAATTGTAATATATAATTTTAGGATTAAGTTTTAATTTATTAATTTAATAATTAAATACATAATTTACAACATGAATTAATATAATTATAATTTTTTTTTGATTAATATTAATTATTAACTTGCTAAAAATTATTAATTCCATCTTGTTGTTGATTTATAATATTAATATTTTGTAAAACAATACTTTCATACCATTGATTAATTTCATTTTGATTATTTTTTTCATCTTCAAATATTCTCTTTTTTTTTAAACAAATAATAAATAAATATAAAAAATATATAATATTTTCAGTTAATAAATTTAAAAATCAAAAAATGATTTACCTTAGCATATGCATTAATGTTAAATTTAAATGGTTCTTGACCAAGATTAATTTTGACTTTTTCACCTTTAGTTCTTAATCCAACTGTAGGATAATAATCGTTACCTTGAAGATTTTGAAAAGCGATTCCTAATAATAAATTATCAGATAAGAAAATTTTATCCTCCTAAATAAATAAATCTTTTCTTTATACACACCCAGATTTTTTCCATTTTTAGTATAAAAAGCTTTTTTTTTATAAAAATTAATTCCACAACCAATGATATCTCCAGTAGTAAAAGGAGGACCATACGGAGCTCCTGTACCGGTAGATTCAAACTTATTTCCATCGTCTCCATGATACCCGAAAGATTTCGGTTCCCATCCTAAATTAATCCATAACAAAAGAAATAAATTTTAATAAAATAAATTCAATTACAAAGGAAAATTTCTTATGACCTGGCAATCTGTTTAAGTAAACTTCTTTTTCGCAAAATCCGACTCCAATATATCTAATTTTTTATTAAAATTTTAAAATGAATGTTTGTAGCATCCTGTAATTTTTCAAGAATAATTTAGTAATCTTACCCATTTTTTCCCTTACTCGTGATTTCAACTTCGAAATAAAATATTCCAACTTTATCAGGGATTGGACAATCCGATCTTACAATACCCGAATCGAGATCTGTCACTCCCATTCCTAATTTTTGAAGACTTTTTTTTTTTAAAAAAAAAAATTATATATAAATTTAACAAATAAATATAAAATATTTGCCGTTATAATGAACAATATATCCATCCTCCGCAACATTAATATTTCTAGAACAATCCATTTTATTCATTCTACTTGGTAACGTAAATGTGACATATTTGCTATACAAAGCTAAAGGACTATTTGTTAAGTAAGAGGGTATATTTTGTTCACCACCCATTATTAATTTCTTTTTTCAAAAAAAAAAATTATATATATATACATATATTTGAAATGAATATCAATTAAATAGTGATAGCCTTTTGGATACAGTTTTATAGATAAAATCAGGATGTTTTATTAATTAACCGTTTGGGCGATCGACGCATATGTAATGATCTAATGTTGCCTGATGATGATTGATTAGTTCGTATATGGTGTAATTAGATAATTAATTCTCATATGACGTCAACTTACGTCTCACGTGAGTTACCATTAAAACCAACATCATTTATAATTTGCCCCTCACCCCGTAAAATATTTTCACTCTCGTCTTCAAAAAAAAAAAAAAGAGAATGGCAACAAACATCTTACCGATAGAAATATTACAAAAAATATTTTGTTCGCAATTAGAACTAACATCATTATACAATTGTTTATTAGTAAGTAGATTATGGTGTAAAACTGTAGTACCGTTATTATGGCAAACACCATTCTCACAATTTGATAAAAATAAAATACAAAGTTGGAAATATAAAAATTCTTTAATAAGTACATACATTACTTGTTTAGATTCGAGCGTGAAAGTGAGCCTTAAAGATTCAAACGTAATTTTACCAGAAGAACTTAACACGACATCAACATTTAATTATGCATCGTTCTTACAAAGTTTAAATTATGTATTATTGTTTCAGTCAACAGGAAATTGGATTGGTGAAGTAGAAAATTGTGCTTTACGCAAATTGACATTAAGGCATTACCTTTTGGTTGAAGAATTATGTAAATTATTCTTTGCATCATCTCTAAATTTAAAAGAAATCATTTATGATAAACCACATCCTTTACCTCATGTACAAGAATTAAGTTACATTCCCTTAAGATATTTGGAAGGTGCAGAACAATCTTTGTCAAATTTAAATTCTTTTCAAATATTCGATTTAATACCGAATGAAATATTATTTACTTTTTCACAAATTTCCCATCATTTATTAGAAATAAAAATTGAAACGACCGGGGATAATGATGATGCTTTGGCTTCCCTTATAAGTGTACAAAGAAACCTTCGAAAATTAATTATATATAGTGAAGATAATTTACCTAGATTATCTAAGGCATTAAAATCCATTTCATTATCATCTTTAAATCACGTGGAGATCTATTGGGAATTTTGTATACCCTTTGATATCTTTTGTAATTGTTCGGACACTCTAGAATTATTTTCCGTACAACAATTTGCTGGAATTATATCTCGTAATATTTTTAATCATTTCTCTTATACTCGATTTACAAAATTACACACCTTGAAGATTGTTACACCAAAATTATATTTAGATCAAATTTCTATTCTTATAAGAAATACTCAAGGTAGTTTAAAATATATTCATTTAGATTATGAAAAAATTTATGGTACAGAATTTTCTTTGGAATTAATTAATATTATAGCAAATTCATGTCCCAAACTCGATACCTTAGAAATATTTATACCAGATGATTCAATATCCTGTATTGTAAATTTATTATCTTGTTGTACACAATTACAAAAAATTTCTTTTTTTACGGGTGATTCTCATGATGATTTGGATGAAAATTTTCTATACACCGTAGATATTAGTGACGTATTATCCAAGATCGGTAAAATCTTACCTACAAGTTTACATACATTTCACATGAGTCATAATTGGATTACAACTGTAAATTCTTTAAGCGAATTTTTATTGGATTGTGAGAAAAATTTATCAAAGAGAGATGGAAAAAAGTTGGATTTTAGAGTGGGAAAAGAATTAACTGCTGAGCATATCGATGTTATTGAAGAATTTGGCAAACGTGATGTATTGGATTTAACGAATGCTACTTCTCTTGGAAGGAATTTACAATTCTATCGTCAACAAATTGAATGGAAACGTAACGTTATCGTGAATAGGTAAAATTTTGTACATTACTTACCGCCAATTTATGTGATAATTACTGATAATATTCTATAATTTAATCAGATGGGAGGCTTTAATGAATAATAGTTTATATTTGTAAATTTATTACATTATATGTGAAATCAAAAGTATTCATGTGACCTTTATCATCCCTTAATTACATACATTGAACAAAATCGATCCAAGTTAAAAATGAAACGCTTTAAAGTAGTCATTTCATTTTTTTTCTCTAATAAATCTCAGGAATATTTACAGACTTTAAAATATTTAATTGCATCTAAAGTTAAATTTTTTTAATATTGCATTATACTTATTATCTTTTATTAGACTTGTTTACTATAAATTTTGTGATTCTCTTTAAAGCAGAGTTGGCAAATAATCTTAAAAGATCTCAAAACGATTCAATAAAAACCTTAAAAATTTATAAGATCATTTGGGATTTTGAGATCTTTTAAATTCTAACTTTAAAAGCTTATATTCAAGTTTTTTTAAACAGTCAGTAATTTTTAAGTTATAATTTTAATTTAAATTTAAATTAATTAATTATAAATGTTTATAATTTATAAAAACATTTGTCATAATAATTTATCTATGTTAGTTAATAATTTTAGTTGCATAATATTTTAATATTTTATAAAATTATTATTTGTAAAATTGTTAAGTAAAATCTAGATATTTAACAAGTTATCTATTTTTAAAATAAAATTATATTAAATAAAGTTTTAATAAAACATATAAAACTTTATAATTATATTAAAAATTATAAAATAATAAAATTATATTAAAATCTTATTAAAAGTTAAATTTAAACATTTTGTTAAAACTATATATAATTAATACTTGATATAATAATTTTGTTATTTAATTGATTAAATCTTAATTATAAGAAAATTCATTAATATTATAATGAATTATTCAATGTAATATATTAATATAATTTATTTTATTATATAATAATTAATAAATATGTGATGCTTTGAGTATAAATATAATTTTATTATATATAATAAGTTAAATTTTTTTCAGTGATATTTTGTAAATTTTAATGTTATTTTGTAAAATCAAAAAATATTATTGTGTTATTTTTTTTATAAAATAAGGTGTGATAGTACTTAATTTATTATATAAAAGTTATGTAATTTAATAACTTATTTATTTAAATGATTATAAATTTTAATAAAAAATAATTTATAAAATAAAAAATATATATTTTTAAAAAATTTTTTTTTAAAAAAAACTATCAGTATTAATATCTAATAGTTGATAAATTATAATTTTATTTTTAAGTATATTTTAAATCTAAAAAAATAAATATACTTAATATAAATTTACAAAATCAATTAAACATTTTAATTATTACCTGATTTATCCTAAAATCTTATTTAAAATATCTATTTCTTATATACGTCTAATTTTCTATTTATATTATTTATTATTATATTATTATTTATTTATTTACTTATATCATAATCTATAACTAAATTTTTTATTATTTCTAAATATAAATGATATTTATTATTTTTTTCTCTTCTTTAAAACTAAAAAATCTATTTTAGAATCTTTTAAATAATTTTAAAAATATTTTTATGATTATTAAAAATTCAAATATATATAAAAGATTAAAAATCTTAAAAGATAAAAATTAAATGGTAATAAAATATTTTTTTATAAAACTTAAAATTAATACTATACTTATGATTGAAATAATATAATAAAAAATTATTTATAATTAAAATTCTAATTTGTATTCTTTAAAAATAAAAAGTTAAAATAATTAATAATTGTATAATTTAAGTATTATCTTATAATTGTATAACTCAAGTATTATTAATAAATCAAAGATAATGACAAATCATTACTTTAATAATAAATAAAATTAT